TATAGTGAAGAGTCGTTTCGTTAGCGTATCTGAAAGCCTCAAGATCTGTAATATGAAAACATGTTTAAAAATATTTAATGCGGAGATTTTTAATTGGAGATAAAGTAAAAACAACCCTTTTTGAAACATATCAAGTTATTTGTAATGACAAAATAAAATACGAAGAAAAATAATCCTATTTAAAATTTTCTGAAGTTTAACTCGCTTCTAAATCCATTTCATGAATGTCAATTTGAAGAAATCTGCTTATTAAATATATTTAAATTTGTAATGATTATAAATATTATCTAAATATATAATGACTTAAAACATAAATTGAAATTCTGTTGGCAAATATATTTATAAAACTATTTAAGCAAGAACTGTCGGTACCATCTACTAAAAGGTATTGTAAAGCACAGTCTACGAGACGTTGTTGCGTGCGTACGGGTTCGTAACACATTGAATGCACACAGGTCCGATGATAGGTTAGTAAAATTTATTTTTATCAAATGAAACACTTCAAAGTTCTGGAATTTTCCACAAAAATACTTGTACAGGTGTTTACAGTATCACAGAGTACAATAAGTAGTTACATTTCAAACTACTAAGAACGTTAAACACAAAAGGCGTATCTAAACAGAAAGCTAACCCGAAGATATTACACTTCACGCTGAACTAACAATTCAAGCAGATGCTCTCTCTCCGGTCGAATTACGGTTGCAGCTAATATAGTGGTCAACTTACATTTATTCAATTACAATACCTATTACAGCGATACAAGAACCGGAACCCAATGTGGACAAATAGGAGCCAAGTTTGGCGACCTCTGGCGATTTTTCGCCAAATTTTGCGATAAAATAAGTCGCCAAATTACCGAGATACCCATTTACCTAATGTTAAATGAACGTGCCCCTGCATTCTTTTCCGGCATTGCTTGTCTCTTTTAGATTTTTCTTGTTACATAACACAGAAAAGTGCAACAATTTCACATATAATTGCACTAAAATCATCTACCTATGAACCAAATTCGACCATGTTCAAATAAACAAAACAAACTTCCAAATTCGAAAAAATATGATACGAAAGAAAATGTTATGCAAACGTTGCAAGATTTCTCCTTACTTTCATTCCAAAAACCTCCAACTGGCTTTATTAAAATAATTATAAAATTTTTGCAGCTGCTTAAATCGTATATCTGGTTTGCCGAAATTCCCTGTGTACTGGCTGATGTATTCAAAATCTCACCAACTTGAAATTTTAAGATAGTTTGGGTCAAAGAATCCACTTCTGTGTACCTATTCATCTTGGAAAAAATAAACAAATATCATAATTATTATCATCAAATACTAGACATCTAGCTTGTTCATCTTCAAATGACTTCCTCCTCCATGGATGCTTCATTGAAACTCCTGGAATTTTGCCAGATGCCATTCTTTCAGTTTAAACAGTCACAGAAATTATTTTCATAATAACAGCTTCCGAATTTTCTCGCGTCTCCACTTTCTATTTCAAATTCATACTACATGTATTGTAGTATATTGCAGTTATTTGTAGTACATTGCATGTACTGTACTTAACCAGTAGGCTACATGTATGAATGTATAGCAGTCTTTAAATATTTATAAACTATTAGATTCTCTGGTATTCAATGCTTTAAACGTTCAAAAAAAATTTAGGAAAATTTAAATTTTTTTTTAATTCAAACTAGGGAAATAAATCTCAGCACTTCATAAAAATTAAAATTTGTTCCTATAATAATAACTTTATAACAATATATCGTACCACCCAGTGTCATGATAATGATGACTTAGTTCGATGAGGATTTCTGAGACCCAGAATGCACAGTACACAAAAATACCAATACGGAAGGCATGTACTAGTATTTTTGTGTTTTCCCCCAATCCGCAAAAATTAACTAATGTCCTTAAAAAGGTTCTACACAGAATCCCCTCTCTCAAAGCAAGTAAGTATAATTTGGTATTTTACCATTTCAATATATCAGTTAACCAGTTGCAAGCAAAAATATAATTTGAATACTTATCTATAAAAATGAAGACAATTTATTTCTACTTTAAAATATAGCATAGAAAATAAGAGATTCTTTACACTACCATCTCTCCAGCTGAAAAATATTCCACAATATGAACTACAGTCAAAAGTCTTTAATCCGGACTGATCTATAATCCGGACCTCAAAGCTACAAACTTTCTGCGCATGCTTAGGCATGCGCATAATACGTTTAAGCATGCGTGTTTAATGTAAAACGTGTATAACGGACGGTATAAGCTAATCTCAAATTATCTAATTTAGTTAATGTTGCAGATTGCGTTGTTCCTTAATCTTCTAATTGGATCCGGCTTATTATTTTTTGCAGACTGTTAGAGCAATTTTATAAAAGTAAGCTTGAACTTTCGATTATGTCAAAAAGAATTTCCGATTCTGGAGCTGCCAAAGGATCTACAAAGCGAAAGCATATTTCGATGTCTGTCAAACAAAAAGTGGAATTGCTGCAAAAAATGGATAAAGGCATATCCTTTGTTTCTCTAACCATTCCGAAATTTGTTTATCAATTTCACGCTGCTCTGCGGGGGAGGGAAGATGTCGCGGCGCACAATGAACTAGAAATTGATCTGTCAGCACTAGCCTTATCTTCAGGCCAGATGTTTTTATTTTATTCGGCTTATAATTCCTTAATAAATGTAGTATTTCACCTCGATGTATTCCGTCTTTGATATGATTTAAATCAAATTCCTCGTCATTATAAATATCACGAATACACATCAAAATGGTTTTCTTGTTGAAATTTTCTAATTTCGACTATGCGTAATGTATGCTTTACGCATGCGCGCATTAAAAGAAATGTTTAATAAAGTAAACAAATAAATATCAAGCTTTTTTTTGTAAATTTTGATACCCTTTAGATCATAATTGCTCTTTATTTCATAAATTACAGTTTCATACTTTTAATTTTATAATTTCTGCATGCCATTTTACCACATTTAAACTGATGATCTATAATCCGGAAAAACCGATATTCCGGAATCGCCGAAGTCCCGACGAGTCCGGATTAAAGACTTTTGACTTTATATAATATCAAATGGACTAGATTACAAGTGTCCTTTGTTAGAGTATGTTTGTCATGTTATTTATTAGTTAGCCTAAAATAAGTCTGCAGCATTTATGATTTTGTGAAGTATGATACAGTTCTTGAATTTCTAGTTTTTTCTATAATTCCTCTGATTTATTCTTTTTGTCGACGTTTTGATAGTTGCTAGCTCTGAAACATTATTATGGGATTTTACTGCAACATACAAATAGTTTTAATGACTGCAGACATCTGTTTTATTTATTTATTTATTTTCTTCCGGGGGGGCAATGCTACAATATTGAACGTGGCAACTTACCATAACAACAATATACGCTTTTGCAATGAACTATTATACCCATAAAAAAGCACACTGATATTAGAATCAATTTTGAATATAGTCTCAATCTGTGCAGAATTCAAAACAAATTAAACTGCATGAGGGAAACTGGCATATATTCGAAATCACAGTTGGTACAAATTACAAATACAAAACCTATTCATATTATTTAAACCTTTTCAAAGCAATTTAACATAGTCGCAAAGTAACACCATCTCTTAAAACAGTTATAAAACGTGCAGCAGTCAGCTATTACATGACATTACGAGGCAATTACATGGCAAATCTATAAAAACATTAAGTGAACTGATTCTCAGAAAATCGGTTTTCTGACCAGGTCATTTGCAATATTCAGATTATAATATAAATTCTGTCTGACAATACACTATATACTGCTCGGTACTAGAATTGTAACACCAAAGAAAGAAAAGCTAAAACACTAAGCCAATTGAAGGGATAGTAAAATCATGTAAATAATCTAAATTGGGGGTTCCCAACAGGGTCGGTATTGACCCCCCCCAGGGGTCGATGAAATTCTAAAGGGAGTCAATGATGATCAGGAGTTTGATAGCCAAATATGCATCAGCATAATCAAGATCCCATTCATTACAAAAATTAATTAATGAAATGGATATCTGTTTATTGATATAAAGCTGTATCATGTAGAAAGGAAGAAATTTAATGTAGTAAAATGAACTCAATGCGATTGTCTGTTATTGGAAAGTATTGCATTTATTTATAAAATATACTGTTACATACACGGCACTTGCAAAATTTAAAAGACAATTTTAATGTTCACTGACATTGAAAATTTTAAAGTGCAAGCTCGGCTTATAGAACCCCTGAACCACAGAACATCTATGTACATACAATTCATACGAACAATACATATTCTTTGCCTGAACCGCGATTTATCCGATACTGATATTTTAAGAATAGTAAACACATGGGTACACTTAAGTTTTGGAATTTAAAAGTCATTCGAGAGAATACTTCGAAAGTTGTTACTGGACCAACATAACTGACTTTTCTTACCTAACGGAAAAAGGCTTTAGTTAAGTCAATAATTTACTATGGAAAACAAAAAACAGGTTGAACGTTAAACATATGCCAATTATTAAGAGAAAAATTGCATCAATACATCAAAAGTGCAGACATCATGAACTTGAATGTTATCAGAATCTGCAATTTTGCAACATCAATTTTTCTCTACCCCAGTTTATACTACATTTCCAATGTTTTTTGTGCAACTTTACTTTCTTGCAGAAAGACGCAAGTCTGCATTTTGAAAGTGTGTTATAAAAACTGACTGTTAGGGATGAGAAAATAAACGTCATGCATTATTTTCTTAGTTGCAAAATCATTCAAGTTGCAAGAATTTCTATAATTTTTCTCATCATATTCATGATAATAAATATCTAAATTTGCAAAAATGGTGAAATGGTTTTGTCATCACATATGTAGGACATTAACTATTACTACAGATTAAGTAGCAATGAAAAAACTCTCACACTGAAATAAAATAAAAAATTTTGTACATTCTATTATGATTTCTTGATGACACTAACATTTTAAATATTCTTTTACTTTCAGACCTGGCCATTTACAATTAGTAACAGACCTACATATGGAGACAGCATAGAGGTATCAACTATTACTAATAACAGAGAAATACAAGATGCCAATCATATACCACAACCTAATTACTCCAATTATAGAACCTGTGAATATATACCATTAAACTATACTGATCATTACAGGAAAAATATGGTGGACCATTATTTGCAATAATTTGGCGAAAAACATTGAACGACACTGGTAATGCAAGACATTTAAAATGCTCAGAAGAGAATGCAGTTGTCTACAGCAGAAACTTTTATGGTAAAGATTTAAATACTTTTTTTAAACTAAAAAAAAAAAAAACTACAGGATCTCAAAAATCTTAAGTCATATGTCAATTTTAGCAAATGTATAAATGCAATCTTTACACAGTGCTTAAAATGAATATTTACGAGATTAAATTTTGCTACTTACAAGAATATGGTCATAAGGAATTTTTTCACAAGCAATGTTGTCTTTTAGACTACAAATATAAAAGAATTTTTATATTTTTAGTTACACTTAATAAGAAATTAAGCTTTTAAATAAATGAAGCAAGACTTAGTATTATCTTAGACTGCATGTGCCATTATATTTGATGATATAAACATTTGACCTTTGGTACGTTCACATACAAATTTTCTTTGTGGTCAAACATAGCTCAAAACTCTCACTTCTATGTTACTCCAGCAAATTCTAAAATATGCTTCAACTTTACATAGAAATTATGTTGATTACGTTATAAATCATATACGGCACCACTTATATGATGATTTATAATGAAATGGCCAATAATGCTAAATATTAATTTCTGAATTTTATAAATTTTGTTATTTATTATATTATTGCACTATAAGAGAAAAATAAAAATTATTTACAAATAAAATTTTTTAATTATTTAACCATTACAATTGAACATTTTTGTGCTTACAAGTCAAATTTTAAAATAATTTCTAGAAAGGAATAATAAATTATTTAACAACACGTCTTGGGCGTTAAAATCGGTAGCAAATGATAAGCCAAATTTTTCTTTACCCATTTGTGTTGCAAACTTCCAATTAACAGCATTTACAATATTATTTTAATCATACTAAAATATCACTAAGCAATATTGTTTATGCCCTCTGTATAAAAATAACTGACTGACTCACACTTTCATATTTATAAATATGCTACCCGACATTGAAAATGCAACACACCAAGAAGAAGTGGTCCAAAAATTATGTAAATTTCAGGGTAGTTGCACATCACCCACTTATGTGAATGATGTGAAATGTGCAGCTCTCCAGCACGCACTGAAGACGATATAAGGGAAGGAACCTGCGATGTTCAATTTTCATGCCATTATTTCTGCTAGGGAAATCCTCGTAGAAAATTTTTTCTTGTCTCAGAAGGCGCATGTAAATGCACAGAATGCCAGGCCGTAGTCAACGGAGGCAGATCCAGCAGACAGACAATTTTACTAGGAGGATGGCGATTGGACTCAGGGCAGGTTGCTTCATAGGGCAAATGTCAGCTGACACACACCTGGACGCGTCTACAGCGCACCGGCTATCAGAATGAATGGCGGTGAAGCCAGAGTGACGTCGTCACAAGGGGATCGATGCATCCACCGACAAGTAGTGGTGCACCTCCAAGCAACTTCTACCTCCATTCTGCAGCATGTTCAAGACACCCTGGATGTTCCCATACCGACCAGAACCACTTGCCATCGAACGGTGGCTAGTGGCGTCTGTTAAGAAGACTGCCATTGACCCCACCGTCTGCAATGGTGCCAGGCGCAAACGATGTGGATGACATAATGGCACAGGGTTGTGTTTTCAGATGAGTCATGCTTCTGTTCCTCCAATGAGTGTAGCATCGATGTGGAGAATGGTCAAATCCAGCAGCAACACCCCACCACGCGACATCATGGTATGGGGTGCAATTGCATATGATTCCATGTCACCTTTAGTTTGTATTCAAGGCACTATGAAAGTCCAACAATACATGGATGATGTGCTGCAGCCGGTGACATTCCCCTAACTTCAAGGAGTGCCCAATCCCTTTATCAGCAGGATAGCACCGAACCACACAATGCTCGCATCAGCCAATGTGCTCTGCAAGGTGTACAGATGCTTCCCTCGCCACAGTTTCTTCTGATCTTTCACGAATTGAACAGATTTGGGATGACCATTTGTAAACCCTGCCATTGCAGAGTTCAGAAGAATTGTGACAAATGGTTCACAGCGAATGAAGAGCCATTCCTCGGGACACCATCCATAGTCCCATTGACTATGTCCCTAGATATGTGCTTCATACATCGCCGTCCAAAGTGGTCCTACAATCTACTGAGCCAATGCTGTTCTCGCTCTGTATTATACATATCATTTTAATATACAGATAACTTACTGTTCATTCCTGTTCCTTTCTGTTTGCCGAGTTTCATCACTTTCTGGCCACTGCATGGGGCTACTTTTTAGTGCTGGGTAGTATGTAACTGAGTTCCCCCCATCAAATATTCTTGAATCAGAATTCAAAAACTGATTTCATACAGAATATGAAATACTTGTCTTATGTAGGTTTTGAGGCATAGAAATTACCATCCTATAACATACACTCTCCATGTTACTATCGTCATTACAAGTTGTACATGTATCACTTTAACTCAATAACAGAAAAGGCAGTTGTAAAACTTTCAATTGTTAAAACTGGTTTATTCAAAAATATTATACAAGATAAAATGTAATACTGTGATATTTTTCCAAGAATACATTCACCTTTCAAAAATGTGGCACAATCTATTAAATATGAATTATATCAATATAAGAAATATATAAAATTTCATATAAAATAAACAGATTAAAACTTATTATTTAAAAGTAAATATATCTAGAGAAACAACTTAAAAATTTTATATTTTGTTCAGAATATTATAAAAACATAAAATATAAATAAGTAAAAAATAAGCACAATGCATTAAACTGTGGCAACAAATGTGCACACATTTTATAAATGATTCATTAAAAAAAAAAAAAAAAAAGACAGATCAGATATCAATAAAATAGCTTGAATTTTTCTCACAAAATGCAACACTTTTATACACAACTAGGGGTCTACAAACTTTTCATACCTTTTTGAAGTAACATATAATACATCTACAAAATAGTAAAAGTAATTTTATCAGAGACAGTGAAAGCCTGATAAAACAATCCTAAATTATTACATTATGAACAAGCTAAGCTTTAAAAAACTTGAGTGCTCATGTTTAAAATAAAATGCACAGTTAAGATTTCAGTTTACTTAATGCTTCATATTTTTAAAACTAGAACATTCAGTAAATATGCATTGATACTAAAAATACAGATGTAGAATATCTGAATGGATGCAAAATTTTAATGCACTCATTAATCCAATCATAATTTTACTTACAACATAAATGCATACATTTAATGTTTTAAAAGCAAATTAGTTTAGTTGCAATAATAACAACCAGCAGTTATCTAATTTATTTGAATCAGCAATTTACTTTTTATCGATCTTAACACATGTATGTGAAATAAGAACAAATAAAGCATATTTCATATTTCATGACAAATAGGTATTAAACTGAATAATGTCTGCTCGCTAATACATTCTAAATTTGAAATAGTATTTTATGATATAAACAAAAAATAAATATTTAAATCTTTTAAATTTCCTAGATCAATTATATTCCTCTTTCACTCTTACATCTACAAATGATACAGAATGTCAAATAATCATTACTGTAAGCATGACATGTTGGTTCTAAATTTCAAACTATACCTACAAATAAAACCCTACAACAAAATAACAAGCATTATTAAAAAAAATTTAATCACTTGGTGACAATTTTAAGCATATAAAATTTGTAGACCCCTGAATATAACTAATAAAAAACTCCAAGCAATTATTTATGAAACAATAAATATTAAAATCTAATAACATATATTTCATATTTGCTATCATTAATTTCTCTTTTAAGGCACATCTTATATAACTTGTTCCAAAAGAAATATCTGCTAAGTTCCTAAATGTGTCTGAATGGGTTGTTTTCAAATAAAAAGTTTCTAAAAATAGTATTCTATGTTTAACAATTCCAATGTTTCTTAAACCCAAAATCAGGCAAAATTTTAGTTTTTATGGCAGAGAGCTATAATCCTTAACTATTAAAATTAAATTGTGAAGCTGCAATATTTCATAAATATAACAAATAATCAGATGCAATACTTCAGTTTGATGTTTTTTAATAATAAAATATGCCAGGTTAATTCTAAGCATGAAAATCCAGCAATGTAAAAATTTGGCAAGGGGGGAAAGTGCATTTTCATTCAAAACATTTCTATATTAATACAGCAATAATAACTTTACTTAAGTACATAGCTCATTAACTAATCATCAGTTCATTAGCTAATTTTAAGTACATTTTTATAATAAGTACATTACTAACTTATGAACTTCAGAGCTTTGAAAATTACTGTTATATTTCACTCTTCACTTAACACTGAACACATTGTGCATGGAACAAGAACTTTAACATTATATTTATATAGAAAACTTAAAATATGCTTTAAAAATATAAAAAGAGAATATATAAATCTATTTATATATATTTCACATTTTAAAATGAGAGATTTTACAGAAATTCAGTACATAAAAATATCACAAAAAAACAGGCCGTGATTTTTTATTTAAAATATATTCATATTAAAAATATGAATTATATCTTAACTTAAACATCACTCATCATTTTGCTCTTCGCCATCATGAGATAGTGTTTGATCTAGCTTTTTAGACCGTGAATCTGCAATTCCGTCACATTCTGCATCTGTCATCTTAGTTGATGATGATGTCATATTTTCAGAGCTGGAAACCACATCTTCTTGGATGCTTTGACTTTCATTATTATTATTACTGTTGCTACTTACGGTAACAGATTCACTGGTGGAGTCAGCTGCAAGCTTCCTTCCTGACCTAGATGGAAATATAGATATGAATCTTTACTGAATAATTCTCACATAAGTCAATCTTTTCTAAAATTACTAATAAAAGGTACAGCAATACAAATACTAGTCCTGACACATTATCAAAAATCATTCAAAAGAAATTTTTAGTGATACATACAAACTAACTGAAATCAGAAGATTTTATGAAGCTTGAAAAATGTTAAAATTTCATATAACAGTTCTTTCTTTGCATATTTTTGCAAAGAGTCATAGAAAAGTTTTTTTTTTTTTTTTTTTTTCCCAACGAAATTTGTGCATGCTTTCAAATGTGAATCAATATGAAAAGAATAAAGCAGACTTTCCAAAAATAACTAGTGTACCATTACTATAGCTTTTCAGGGAATAAATTAAAAATAACCAGTTTCCACAAAAATATACTATTAGCTATTTAAATAACCATAAAAAAATGTTTGAAGGTTACGTCTGAACAGAAATTCATCCTTTTAACAAGTATTTTCTAATGGAAACTGATTTACACTTGTGAGTTTGATAAGTTTTATTCAGGAAAAACTATGAAATTTCTCTGCAACTAGTCCAAATAGGCAAGTATTTAAAAAAAAAAAAAAAAAAAAACTTTAAATTATTGCCGTTCTATGTTTAACCCAAGCAGCCAAAAATAGACAAAATAATGGAATTATCAATATATATTGAGCATTCTAGCACTAAAATATTAGAAAACTACATTAAAAAAAAAAGTACTTTTCCATTCAAGTCGCCAATAATGGTACAACTGATGCCAAACGGAATACCTTTGTTGGTAACCTTTTACACCTAATTTTCAAACAAATCACAACCATTTCTTACCAGATTGATTGTTTCTCTCAATATATAGAATTTTTACAAGATAGTTCAATTTTATGCCCTAAGGACATTCGCGGGTGGTAAATAAGTCAATTAGGATGCAATCACATTGCTCACCCGATGGTGATAGAAAAGGCAAAGTCAAGGGTTAAATTCATCATTTCTAATGAGAATGCACTAGCGAAGTAAAAAGTAAAACACTGCGGTTTTAGTTTTTAAGTAAGCTATTCGTACGAATTGAAATAATTCTCGCATTTAAACATTATTCCAAATTAAGATTTAACTTGAAATTAATGTAGATAATTACCGAGAGAATTAGATTTTTATAGCATAGTTTACGTGAGATGAGATCACTCGGGGTCACGTAATATGAGGCGAATCATGATGTACGATGAAAGCAAAGTAAATTCTTAAATTAATGTCTTTTTACAAATTTATTGTCTTTATTTATTGGGGTTTTTTTTACAAAATTTTAAACGATGTTAAAATGTTAATACCTTCAAAATAAAAAATTCTTAGAACTAACATTTGTCAACACTTTTTATGTGTATACTGTGTGCTTTCGACAGTCTAACTAGCGCCGGCGAAACGGAAAAGTACCAAAAAAAAATCATAACAGGTAATGATAAATAAGAAATTTAGCTGCAACAAAAAGTAATAACTAACATAGTCTTTTGCTTGCTTCATTCAGTTATATCTGTTTTGATATTTCTTATTATAATAATTTTACAATTGCCAAATATTTTTACATAATGTATCTGAAAATAGATAAAGACAAGACAATACAGACAAAGAAAAAAATGAAAGTGTTTTGATGCATTTTTTTATAATAGAAATGTTTATTTTACTTAAAAAATTGAAGTTAATGACCTAAAACTGCAATAGAATATTACAGTACAAGTGAAGAAACTGATAGTTTCACTCACGTGCGTGTTGAATTTGCACAATGCTTATGGAGTCCCACTAAATTTTTGTAAATATTAACCTGTAAAACTACATTCCTCGAGGAAAACGCTAACCCAAAAATGTGCTGCTCAAAATGGATTGTTCCTTTCACCCCTACCCGCAGTTACGTCGTGGCATAAACTTAAATACTATTTTTTGTTCTTTCTACAAACATGCATAAATTATATAGAGATGAAATTAATAATTTACAGTTAATCATTCAACCCTATTTCACATTATCCTCTTTTCATAATTAACAACCATATTCAAATATTAGTTTTTTTCATTCCTACACAGAATATTGCAAAAAGATTTTGAAAATAACCCCAAAGCTCAAAATAAGATTATTTGGAATAATTCCCATCATTCAATTTTGGAGGGTAATTCTTGATCACATCCTTTTTTTTAAACTAGCTGCTAGCACAGCCAGCCAGAAACAGTTTTTAAAGTACAAAAAATATACATAATAATTTTAATGAGGCCAGCTGCGTAATTTCATAAAAACATTTAATGATTTTTAACAATAAACCAAAAGTATTGGTTTTTTGATTATATTAAACTAATCAATCATTCTAGTCTGACACTTCTACATCCCCCCCCAAACGCGACAGAAATTATAAAGTGATCTGGAGTGAATGCTACAGATCATTGTATAATCTCTTTTAAATACAGTGAAATATGTTTAACACAAAAATGCTCAAGATGAAATATTGGTTAACACGAAATAATACAATGGTCCCAACAAACTACTATGTATTTTCATGCATCCGCCCCTCTTAACACAAAATGAAAAATCGCTTAACATGAAATGATTTCCCTTCTGGGAATGAACAAAATATGGAAAACACCAGCCATGCAGGTGAGATTTAAAATGGGTATTAAATGAAAGAGAGTTGATTTCACATGTTTTGTAGAAAGAAGGGTAACTTGGGTTTGAAATATCCTCGGAATAGACTGTGACACAAGCCAATTTTGTTTATCTAATCTACTTTCACTTCTACAAATGTCATACAAAAACATCTCATCTCTCATCAGTTGGCTCTGGAATTCGATGATGAGTATATTGCAGTGTAAGTAAAAATCAGCGAGTTTGGTTTGCCTTTTTTGTTTTCCCAATTTTGTAGAATCTTTTTACGAGTGCAATGGCCAGCAGCTGAAGGGGAAAGTAAACTACTATTTCATTTAAAATGAAGATGGAGCTGTTGATCAAAAACAGAAGACGAAATGGAAATCTGTAAAGATTTTGAAATAGCTAACTTTACATTATTAACAATATTTCTTTTTTTAAAAAAACGAGAGCAAATTAAAGAAATGTTTTAATGGAGTAAGTTTGAAACAAAGCGAAAATTGATGAGAACGAACGAGCATGAGGATTTAGAGACGGTTTTAATTGTTTGCTTCAAACATGAGAGATATCGGAATGCTCCCATATCAGGACCTTTAATGCTAGAAAGAAGCAATGAACTTGGTAAACAAATGGGTATTACATTTTCTACAAATGCAGAATAGTTGGAACGTTTCAAGAAAAGAAGTGGCATACTGCTGAAGCTAATAAAGTTTTAACGACCATGACAGCAAATTGGTTTCAGTCTACATTTCGCTTCGATGAAAGATGTTGAAGCAAAAGAAGATTTATTTATTAAGTTATTAGATGCTCTTCATGTTGCACTCTGAAATTCAGCGACTCCAAGGAGGACTGAAAATTATTTTAATCATGCAGGATTCTCATAAGTAGCAAATTCTTTGGCACCAAAAGAAATGGAGAAGAAGGATATTGAAACTAAGCTGATACTTAATGAAATTTTTGAGAAAGTTTCTGTATTATTTGGACTGCCCTACTGTATCATCAGAAGAATTCGTTGCAGTAGATGAGGATATTGTGTGTACAGCCCCAATTATTGCAGACAAAGACATTTTGGAGTTTATTCAAAGCTTGAAAAATATTGATGCAGATTCCGAGGATGAAAATGAAAATAAATAATGCAGGTCCTGTTCTCACATAATCTGAAATGAGAAACATCAAGAAAAGTATACACAATTATTCTAGACGCACATTCCAATAATGAAATGAATTTTAAAAAATGGACGACATTGAACAAAATGTTAACATTTTGATACTAAAAAAGACAATGCAAAGAAAATATATTATTTTCCAAAAACTCAGTAAATAGCTACAAACTTTCTGCGCATGCCTCACGTTGACGCATGCGCATAAGACTTTTACGGCTGCGCATATGCGTGTGCGAATGCGCATAATACGTTTACGCATGCATGTTTAATGTATAACGGACGGTATAAGCTAAAATTATCTAATTATCTATTTCAGTTAATGTTGCAGATTGCGTTGTTCCTTAATCTTCGAATTGGATCCGGCTTATTATTTTTTGCAGACTGTTACAGCAATTTTATAAAAGTAAGCTTGAACTTTCGATTATGTGAAATAGAATTTCCGATGCTGGAGCACCCAAAGGATCTACAAAGTGAAAGTATGTTTCGACGTCCATCAAAATTGGAATTGCTGCAAAAAATGGATAAAGGCATCCTTTGTTTCTCTAACCATTCCGAAATCTGTTTATCAATTTCACGCTGCTCAGCAGGGGGGACGTAGCGGCGCACAATGAATTAGAAGTTCATCTGTCAGCACTATCCTTATCTTCAGGGCAGATGTTTTTACTTTATTTGGCTTAGAATTCCTTACCAAATGTAGTATTTCATCTCGATGTACTCCGTCTTTGATATGATTTAAAACAAGTTCCTCGTCATTATAATTCGCTTCCGATAGTGAAGAAAGTAACAGAGGTTATTGAAAACGAAAAAATTTCGATTGACAAATTAGTCAGTATTCTCGAGACAGCAATTATAGGACTTGAACAGCGGAACTTTGTAACTAAACAAGAAATTATGTCTGTTTAATAGAATTAAAGAGAAAGTATTATCACATGAAACGAAGTAACTTAAACAACTTGCATTGAAAGAAATGTTTAATAAAGTAAACAAATAAATATTAAGCTTTTTCTTTTTGTAAATTTTGATACCCTTTAGATCATAATTGTTCTTTATTTCATAAATTACAGTTTCATATTTTTAATTTTGTAATTTCTGCATGCCATCTTACCAGATTTAAACTGATGATCTATAATCCGGAAAAATCGATTATCCGGAATCGCCGAAGTCCCGACGAGTCCGGATTAACGACTTTTGATTGTACATGCACATATACAA